TGGAAGTGTCCAAGGCCAGGTTGGACAGGGCTTGGAGCAACCTGAGCTAGTAGAAGGTGTTCCTGCCCATGGCAGGGGGGTGGGATGAATCCCTTCCAACCCAAACCATTCTCTGAGTCTTTACAAGAGAATATAAATATTGTATTAAGTTTGCTTTCTTGCAATTGAGCTATTTTGTTGACAGATACAGAAATAAAGGGTTTTCGATTGTCTTGCACATCTTGAGGGCAGACATATGAGAGCAGCTCGATTCCAGCACTCAGGATTAATTGGCATGATTTCTGATGCCAAACATGACACAGAGTCAATAATAAGCAGTCAAACAGCTTCTCCCCTTGACTTCCACATGGCTTCCTCACATTATGGCCACTCCAGCCAGCACCAATTGCTGCCTGATTAGATGGATGACTTACCATCCTTCCTGAGGTGCCATGGTGTCTCATGCAACAATTATTTCTGCCATATTTTGCCACGTGAAAATGAATTAAAAACTGGGAAACATGAAACCAAGTGGCATTTCACAGGGTGAACTTTGCCAGGCATCGCTGGGAAGCACAAAATATGTTTGTGACTGTGCTGCTCCCGTTGTCCAGGAGGATAATGAGATCCACATTCTCAACAGGAAGGAATAATTAATTTGAAGACCTGACTAAAACTACAAAGCAGAAAGATCAGCAGAGTCAAACACATCCCTTGTCACAACATGGGAACCCAAAGGTGGTCCAAGAAACCACGTTCTATAATCCAAAATATGTAGGAGTGTAGCAGAAGCCCTTATGCCTTCAAATCAGGAACATGTGATATCTCTCACATTTCCTGAGAGTGGGGAAGGTCACCCCAACTGCCATTCAATTGCCACAAAAAAAAATCATTAATATAATCAGTGTGACAGTTCAAAATTAAGACAACTAAAGTTATGACCTGAAAGGAGATGCTTCCTACCAAAGGAGATGGCTCCTGCCAAAATATATCATGACCCTGGGTCTTCATTTACTATAAAAGTATTCTAAAACAGTACTGTGGAGGATTATCCATGAAATAGTCAGTGAAAAAGAGCAAATACCACTAAATGGAAATTATTTCTTCCCCCCCACCCCCCCGTGGTCATTTTATTTGTATATAATCTCCCTTTCCCTCTATGAGTTGAGATCCATTTATTCTTTTCATTTAATTTATGATTTTTACTTGAAAATAAAGGGGGAAAAAATCAACCTCTGCAAATGTATAACCATTGTGTAGTTTTTAGTTAAAACAAACAGCAAAGCAGTGGTGGGGGGACTGGAATGACTCTGGAATGCTGACTCCTGTATTTACATCTCGGTGTTCAACAATAAATTTCCCCAGTTCCTTTGGTTCATCCAAGTGTCATGCTGCTAATTAAGATGCTAATGAAGACACAGAGCCAACCACAGTGGCCTGGGCTCCTCATGGAGCTCCAGCTCCACATTTGGCTGTGGTTTGGAGATGCCAGCAGAGCTCAGGTGCCTGAATCCAGACCTGGTGGGTTAGAGCAGACAGTGGGCACAAACCACAGGGATCAATGAGGATGTTTTGTGGGCAGAGGAATCTATTAGAGCACAGAGCTGCTGTGAGGTGCTCAAGGGTTGCCATAGAGATTCTCTGGGCTCGTTGGACCGGCCATGAGGAGCGAACACAAAACATTCCCTCCCCCTGAACGTCTGAGCCAAAGCCCATCGAGGAGCTCGGCCTCTCTCAGCTGCCTCCAATGAGTTGTGGGTGATACTTCGAGAGCAGCACTTGAGAGCTCATTTCTGCTCACACTGAGCCCTTTTATGTCTCCTGAAAGGTCCACGCTGAAGGATTCGAGGAGATGGGTCTCAGCTGATCAAGCTGTTAAGATGTGCTTCATTTCCAGCATAATCAACCCAGTGACTTCAAATCCAGGAGGGGATTAGGAGAAAAAGTCTTTCTACTGCCACAAAGGCAGCAAAATTTCCCCGGGCTCTGGGGTGATGTCTGATGTACAGCTGTGTCATTTTTTCAGGGAAAAAGCTCCATCCTCACTTTGGTTGTGCTCACCAACCATCTCACATTGGGGTAGAACAATGAGCTCAGCTTGTTTTCTCAAAGAAAAATGTAATGCCATAGTGTTTCACTCTTAAAAATAAATTTAAATACAGTGAAGCTCTCTGCCAGACTAATAAAAAGCGTATCTTTGACATTTTTTCAATCTTCTCCCAAACTCTTTAAACATTTAAGCAGACAGCTCATCAATGACATATTGCATAAATGCTTCACTGTTAGAAGTAATTTTTCATGATGAATCTTTAAAGTGCCAGACTATCTGATAAGTTAAATTTTGATTTTCTTTCTATGACAAATGGTTAATAGTTGTCTCAGAGTCTTTCTGCACTATGATTTTTATCTCTATTTTATTAGGGTAATAATAACATCTAATATACTCTCTCATATCTGTCTTGTTCTTTCTTAAGGTCAAAATTATACCCAGAGCTAAAAGCAGAAAGAGACTTCTTCCTTTCTCATTTTCAGTATTTTAAGGTAATAAATTACCATTTACAGGCAAATAATAGCAAATTAGGAAATCTCAGTGTGATATATATACTTCAATATGTGCTTGGTAATCAGAAAACCAAGTATTGGTATGTCATTACAACAAGGAATTTTCAGTCTTGCAAGTTAATTAGATGCTATTACATCAGGCTATTTAATTGCCTTTCTTGCCAATAATCTGTGAAGAAGAAAAAAAATGTTAATTCCTCTTCTTGTCTTCGGGCAGATTTTGCTCGTTCATGTTTTATTGGATTTGTTCTTCTGAGTTTCACCTACTGGGAACCTCAGCTGCCTCCTTCAGAGGCACAGATCATTTTTAGGGAGCAGAAAAGCAGCAGGAAGCAGGCAATAATATGTCCAGCTCTTTGCAAGGAGCCATTCCAGGTGTGGGGATGGGATGGGGATGCAGTTCCCACAGCCACGGGGCAGCTTCATCCCAACCCCAGGGCTCAGGACAGAGGGGCTGCTCAAAGTAGAGATTGCTGAGCTTAGTGGTGGCTCCCACAGCCCACAGACAGGCACTCATTAGTGGAAATTTATATCCAAAGCCTCCAAAGGTGGATACAAGTTAGAGCAAAGTAAGGTAAAAAAAATCCTTATGGATTCTGGATGTCCTTTAAATGCATTTTAATGTGTTTTACCAAAGGATGCATGGTCAAAAATTAAGAAAATACATGGATTACTTGCTCAGGATTGAACAAACTGCAGCAGCTGCCCTTTGAAGGTGCAGGGGTAAAGGATGCCTCTCTCTCAGCCTCGGTGGGGATGAGCTTCTCCCCCATTTATCTGGCTGGAGCTGGAGTAATGGACAGTGCTGCTGAAAACAGGCCATGAACCTGGGAATTGGCTTGGATGTGGGATCCATAGGGCTCCCTGGGGGTTACAAAATGGACATGGGCAGAGGGTGCTTGGTCCCATGCTGAAGGAGAGGCTGGAGGTGACACTGATGGCGAAGCAGAGCTCACACCTCTCTCCCAGCCCCTCCAGCTGTGGAAACCACCCTTCTCTGCCCCAACACTTCCAAAGCCCTTCCCAAATCCATCAGTCATGACACTGCTTACTCAAGATGGCTTGATGGAGACAGTTTCTTATTTTTCAGTAGCAGAAATTGAGTATAAATTATTTGTCTGAGGTCACAGACTGAATTACTATCAAAGGCCAAGACTGGCCAGGCCATTCCCAACTTCCCAATTTGCTCCTCAATCCCTAGACAAAGCACTGTTCTTCCCACCCTCTAAACTCTTTTATTTTCTCTCTTTCTTTTAGGTTAACCAAGAAAACTAGTAAAGAAAGTCAACAAAATATCTTTTCACAGTGTAATGAATCCCTGTTCTCCAGAAAGGAATATAATTCCTGGCAGCACATTAATTATGCTGTAGGTTGGCATCCCTATAGCCAACCCTATGTCCTCTTTTTACTGAAAAAAGAGACATCTTATGCCATATTTCCAGTTTCTGTCAGCATAAAAATTAATGTGCTCAGCAATAGCACCCTTAGATCCTTATTTTCTGACAGAGATCACTGAGGTTACTCTCTGTTCTTTCCAAAATAAAGCCACCTTTAAAGTTCAGGGAAGAGTTCAGCATTTCATCAGAGCAGCCCTGAGTTTTCAGTGGGTGGCGATGGCAAGATCAGCCCAGCAGTGACAGAACCACTCCTGCAAGTCAGCTGCATAATCTGCATTTTCCAGGCTTGCTCAGTGTGATTTAGGTGAGTACAAGACTTATGGCTCTTGGTGGCCTCCTCCTACGATCTTTTTGTCTATGCAGATCCCTCAAGGTGGAGTGGCTTGTCAGGGAATGGCTAAATCATAAATAATGAGCTTTTTCCTGCAGCCAAGAAGCTGTTTTTTCTTGCAGCCCATCCTTTCAATAAAAGGGGATGAAGGTCTGTGCGAGCAGGATCCTGGCTCTGCATCCCTTCCCTGCTCCAAGGCAAATGCCAAACACTAAATGAGTTACTTTCATCCTGCACAATAAGTGAAGGAGAAGAGGCTGATTTTCCAAGCTCCACGTAGAGCTCTGTTGACTTCCAGACAACCTTGCTCATCCCAGGTTACCAAGGCAGGAATGTATTTGATTATGTAGAAAAATGTTAACAAAAATGGATATGAAAGCCCAAGAAAAACATAAATCTGAATTTGTTCCAGTTTTTTTATTTCCTGAAAATTAAGTTGGGTGGGATATGAGCTGCAAGGAGCAGGGCAGAACCATGCCAGGAAGCTGCACTGTGGCAAAACATCTCCATCCCCACAGCTGTGCACAGATGCAGAACAGAATCATGGAATCATGGAATCACCTGATCCCAGAATGCTTTGAGTTGGAATAGATCTTAAAGATCACCCCGTTCCACCCTCTGCCATGGGCAGGGACACCTTCCACTAGCCCAGGTTGCTCCAAGCCTTGTCCAACCAGGCCTTGGACTCTTCCAGGGATGAGGTAGCCACAGCTTCTCTGGCAGTTCTGGAGAGGCCTGGATGCTGCTGGAGTTGGAAAATTGTATTTGCAAGAGACTGCTGTGGCCAAAATCACAGCAGCCAAGAGTGGAACAGGACAAATGCCCTGCTGCAGTGGAACTCCTCGTGTCACTGCTCTTGCCCTGCTCATCTGACAGTACAGGAGACAGAGTGCAGGAGAATAACAAATATCTGACATTTTCCTTATAAATTTTTAATGTTTTCTGGGAGACACTCGACAAAGAGATGCAAGGGCTAAGCAACCTAGAGACCAGCACTACCCCAAAGGAGCCCAAGTGTTTAAGCAGCTCTAAAAACTATGAAGCATTAAACTTTTCAGCTCGGACAAACACAGACAGGAGTGTGTTTGATCTCCCTGAATCAGCCAGGAATCATGCAGAAACCTGATATCCCACCAAAAGAGCTCCACGATCGGGTCACTTTTCCCCATGGGCTCAGAGGTGCAAAAAACAGGATTGGGCATCATGGAGGTGGTGATGCCACCTTTTTGTAAGGTTAATAATAATCTCCTGGGTTATGATCTTTAACAGGGAAATATTAGAAAACATCCATCTATTGATTTATTATTAGTATCTTAGCTTTGAATGCAAAAGGAATTGCATGGACACTCTGCCACGTTTCAAGCCAGTGTCACAGCACTTGGAGGAAACAAGGTAGAACCCACACATGTGTAACTCAGCAGATGACCTTTCCTGCACCTCGCATTTACCCTTTTTCAGACAAAATTACCTTTTTCTTTTTTTTATTTTTTTAACAGGAAATTTAAAAAAATCCCACATTTGGCACATTTCCTCAGCTGTGTGTTGCTACCTAAGTCAATTAACTGAGGCACAGGGAGCAGTGCTGATACCCTGCCTTACAGTGATTTCCCAGGACTCTCCTGGAAATGAGCTGACACATCTCCAGAGATTATTCCCTGCTAAAGTAATTTTAAATAACTATATTAAAAAGCCAGTGGAAGTCACAAGTAGGGCCCGATTCTGCCTTTCATCAGTGGCCCTTCATGTCTTTGGAAATCTGAAATAAAATGTACTTTAAATGTGTATTAAAGTTGCCAGAGCAGTTGCCTTCAAGTAAATGTGATTTGGGACAGGAAAGCAGAGGATTGCCTTGCGTTTGTCTCTGTGGCAGAGAGGAGGGATTTTGGGAATAATATTCTCCGTCCTCCCCACAGGCTGCGAACACACATCTACTCACGGCATAGGATTATCTTGGTATTAATCAAAAGCAACTTGATTAAATCTGTAGCTTTACAAAGAAGGGGAATTAACCAACGGAAAACATTCATTCCAAAACAAAGCTTTATGACACTGTAACTTTGGGGAACGAAGCCCGTTCCGAGCAATCCCATGTGCTCCGCTCGGCTCGTGCGCTCGGGAACAAACACCCGCTTACATGCTGAGGACACGGGCTGGTCTGATCCTGGAAAAGCATCAAAATAACTCTTTAAGCACAAAGTTAAACATCAGATATCAAAATGGGGGCCGTGGCTGGGGGCACTTGTTCATGACTTTGCTCTTCGAAAGGAAGTTTTTTTAATTCCCGATCCCACGCCGTTGCGAAAGGACCTTTTGTCGAGAGGCGTCTCCAGGTGAGGCTTTAAAAGAGCCAGTTCTTCATCCCTGCCCACCTGGGCTAAGCAGCTATTCAGCAGGAGCAGGCAATAATCAGATTTTCCATACAGCTGGCAATTCAAATAAAAAGGATTGTTGCTCTGGAGATTAAAAAACAAGCAAACAAGGGGAAAAAAAAAAAAAAAGACAGATAAGACAAGGTAAAATTATGGATTTGTGTATTTGCCAGGGCTTGTTCACTATGAAAAGCAAAGTAGAAACACAAAAACAATTTATTGTTTATGACAAGGATGTGCTGTTATTTGCTAAGGATTTCTCAAACTGAAAATCAGATTTTTTTCATTGTTTTCCAGAAATCTTCACTGCATTTCTGGCATAAAATACTGATACAATTACGTTCACAGTATGATATGAATTGTTTTCTGTGATGGTGACCACTTGTGACATGTGACACAGTTTCCCTGGAATGGCATCTGTGTTTATTGCTGTAAAATGAGATTTTTTCAGTGAACAATGAAATAGAATCTTGTTGTAGCTTGTGTGAAGTTATGTAGCTTAAATGACAGGTAAGAGAAAACAAAAATACCTGTAAAGCAGAAATCCGGGAGAGGAAGATTTCCAGTTAGTATGAGTGGTTATGGTAGTAGTAAAGTTTAATAATGAAAATATAATAATAGGAATTTTAAAAATTCTGGATAAAAATCCATGTAGGTTTCTGGACACATTCCTTCTACCTGCACTTTACAGGATAAAAATGCAAACTACATAAAAACTTTTCCAGATTTAAACTGCCCTTACATTAAATTGCATTTGAATTATCACTGAATTATAAAATCAAAACATTTCCTGGCATGTCTATAGTTGCTGTGTGCATCTTTCACCATATCCTGATCTCCCAGCTGGTTGATTATCTATCTAAAAACAATACTCTTCCATCTCTAAAAGTTCCATGCAAAGCCATAGGATTAACCCCTGCCTTCACTGGAATAAAATTTAGATTTACTGGTTTTAATTCAGTATTCTACTGCTTTTATTTAGTATTGCTTAGTACTTTATATTTTTTTTGTTTGTTTAATGATTCTTAAAAACCAAGAGCAAGTCCCAGCCCCTTCTGTCACAGATGAAGAGTTTCCCCAGACTGAATTTTCTCCCTAACAAAGAGAAACACTTTTTTAACAAAAAAAACCAAACCAGACAGAGAGAAATTTCCCTTTGAATTTTTAGCTGCTACCTCCCTAGACTTCCCTTACTGAGGAAATGACTGTTATCTTGAAATCGAATAAATAAATTCAATGAATTGCAACAATTAAACTCAGTTTAAACCAGGAGGAAAAGTGGCTGCTCAGATCAAGCTGTGCCCAAACTATCCATGACCAGAAATGAAAGATGACTCAGCATTTACAGAAGTAAAACAGAGAGAGGAGCCAGGCAACGGATACTTTAAGGATAACAGGGATTTCGCATCCCTAAAATAACCAGCTGTAGCCAGTAATTCTGATAACAGCAGATCACCTTAATGAAAAGATAATGATGCAAAACACACCAGAGGAAACACAGAAATATGAACTGTGGCTCCTAGAGCTGATTTACAGCAATTAAATACAGGGATCTAAGGAAGGCTTTGTCCAAAGGAGGGAAATTGGTCATCATTAGAAATAAAATATCTCATTCCACGTTGGGAAAGTCTTGGACAGTGTCTGGGTGGCTTGGCCAGCAATTTTCCATGGAAAGGACATTAATATTATTTAACTAACCTGCTCACTTCAGCTTTACAGACTGTTCTACTTTCTCTTGTAGTTCAATCAACTTTCTACTCCTGCTTCTATGCAATAATTCTCCATAGCTTCATATAAGAATTTCAGCTTTACCTACCCACTGACAAATAAATTAACTGGTTTATAAACAAGTCAAATTAATACATGTATCTAATTGTACCTATTTGATGTAGACAAGGAATTTAGATGAGATGAAGAGATTTATGGTTTTTTTCTCTTCCATACAATATTTCAGCTCCCCACATTAAATATGCACTGGATCTCTCACATGATTATTTTAGAGGCTCACATATTTTATTAATAACTAAAGCAAAAATTGGGTTACACTCCAGGGAAATTAGGTAATGATAATTAACCAATAGCTTTAATACAAGGAACTTCTTTCATTTCATAAAAAAAACACAACAACAAAGAAACAAACAAACAAAACTAACTTAAATAAAATAGCAATTTGAAATAAATGAAGCATCTCATCTTGGAGTAAGCAGGGAGTGTGACTTACCTTGGAAGGGCCAATGGGGTAACCCGAGCACACGAATGTCATTGAGATCCAAAGAAGGAAAACAAAGTTTAACCTGCATAGACTCCAAAGAAAAGATGAGATTAATTAAAATTCGAACCAAAATCAAGCAAAACTAGGTGAACACAGAGAAAAACACAGAAACCCAGCATATTTGCTCCATAAACCAAGTAACCAGCAGTGTCTTTACCTGCTCATTTTTCACTCAGGAGAGTGTGTTGTATGTACATGCAGTCCTACTACCAAATTCCTCACACATCCCTTCAGTTCTTTCTTAGATGACCATTTTATACCAGAGTTCAGGAGTGAAAATGTCATCAAAGCTGATTTTATCATGACTAATTGGCCCTTGTTTGGCCTTTTCTTCTTGTTAAATGGGCAAATGGCAAGAACACACGTTCAGCTGCCATTACGAAACCACCGAGTGATTTCATTTAAAGTGTCCCATTAAATGTCTCTCAGGAGGGTTTATTGTTACGTCTGGATCATCACAGCAAACCTGGGCAAAGGTCTAAGGATTTCAAAAATACATTTTGAGAGTTTGTTACCACTTCAAATAGATCAGGTTAAGACCTTGGAAAGCCTGGCAGCGAGGGAGAAACATTAAAACTGCACTTTAAGTAGAAAGTTCCTTAAAGAATCTTATTATACTCAGACCAGCCACAATATAGAACAAGATATATATATTATTTTTTTATTTTTCTCCTCCCTTTTTTTTTATTTACATGCTTGGTTTCTAATGCACCCAAATTGTAAGTGTTTTTCTTTGAACTAAAGTCCTGTGGACACTTATTTCTTCTGTTACATATCTTAGCTGACATTAAGTTGATTCAATCAAATCTTCTGTAGGATTAATAAATGGTGTTAATTTCCAATGCAGCAAATGTTTGCTGTCTGAGAGCATAATTTGTTACTGCAACAAATTTAATTGTGTGACATTTTAGGGGGTTGTGTGGTTTATCTGTACAGAGTCAGTCTCCTGATGTAGATGCACCTAATTCCAGGAGGCAGAGCTGGAAGATCTTCAGGTAAGATTGGGAGAAAGGCATGTAAGGGTCTTTACCAGTTTTTATAGAAAAATTCATGATGTGATCCCAGATTGTGATTGACAATTTGTTCCCCACTGTCCAGGGTGGTGCTGATTATGTCAGTGGTTGAGATAATCCAATGACTCTTCAATGACTTCTAAAAAGGACGTGCTTGTAGTTGCTGGTGAAGTACTTCAGGATCCTTCAGGACCAGCAGGGCTATAGAAATAGGGATAAATTAGCCTCATTTAAACCCTGCAGTCAGCAATCCCTTAAGAAAACCCGTCAGGAGAACATTTCACTATTTGCATATTCAGTCTGTGTCCTCTTATTCAGAGAGAAAATCCTCTGGTTTGAATCGAGCTTCCTGTTCCCACTCTATAGGACCTCCAACTCCAAGGATAAGAGGATTAGTCCGTGTTTCTGCTGCAAAGAAAAGCACTTTGGGTCAGATTCTGCTCGAGCTTAGTTTGGTGTCAGCTTTCACTGCATCTGCATTTAGTTTAATTCCATTTTCATACAAAATCAACCTTCCCACAACTCTGCTTGTGAAGATGAGGGACAAGAACAGGCTTGTGATAAAAGTTCAGGATTTCCATATTCAGCCTTAAACTTTGGTGTGCATTACTAACCTAGTTTTTTTAAATCATGAGTTGTTTGACCTCCTGGTGACCCTCCACTGTGCCTGGTCAGCACCTCCTGTGCTCAGCTTTATCACATCCCTCTAAAAGAGAGGATTGGGCCACATTTCTGGCTCACAAGCTTTGGACATGAGAGGTGCACAGAGACTCTCCATGGGCACCTTCAGCATGAGCTGGTGACGGGAGGACAACCAAGGGAGGCCACCAAGGGGATTCCAGGGAGACCTCAGAAAGGATGAAGCTTTGTAGAACCTGGAACAAAGCAGCAGGTTATGGAAACTTCAAACATCATGGGAAGAGAGCTCCTGTGTGACTTTCTAAGGAAGGAAAAAGGATGATCATTACGCTCCTTAGGGATGTTTCATGTGGTCCAGAGGACTTGGCTCGTATAGGAGACAGCCAAGTAATGTTTGGGTTTTTCCCCCCATAAAATCCAAGAGAAGATTCCACCTTTTCAAAGGCTTTGACCAATCACAAACAGCTTTCACATGAAAAAAACATAAAAACATGGAAGAGTTTAGGTTGGAAAAGGTCCCAAGACCATCGAGTCCCAAGCACTGCCAAGGCCACCACCAACCCATGTCCCCAAGTGCCACATCCACAGGCTTTTTAAATCCCTCCAGGGACTGAGACTCCACCACTGCCCTGGGCAGCTGTGCCAGGGCTGGACAATAATTTTTGGGAAGAAATTTTCCCTAATATCCAACCTAAACCTCCCTGGTGATGCAGATGGCACTTAGACAAGTAAGAATTATTGAGACATCACCACCCCAGAGTGGGGCTCAAGGGGTTTGCCCCTCAGACACACAGAAGTGGTTTTACCTGAAGATTCAGTCCCTCATATTTGCTTCTCCCTTGTTTTGGTTTATTTTTTCTGGCTCTTCAGGATGCAATTTAACACACCACAACTGTGATTTGCATGCAGAAAGTGTATATGGAGATTCAGATACATTCTATATATTCCCACTTCAGGTTTGGAGGAAATCAGGTTTAACAGAACAAGTGGCAATTGACATTTCTGGCTTCTCCTCTGTCTGCAGGGCACCCAGGTGGAGGCTTTGCTCCCAGCTAAGGTTCACTGGCAGGTATCACAGATCATGGGAATCATTAAGAACCATAATAAAAACTCCCAGAATCCACAAAATTTGCATTTTAGGAGAATAAATTAGCAGCGATATCTTCCAATTGCCTGCAAAGCCCACGGCATCACCTCTTCCCTCCTGCTTCTTTGTTAAAGGAACAGTGTATTGAATCTTGTTACTACTTTCCTCTGGTTTTCCCACAAAAAACGTATGGAACAATAAAAAAATTTCTGATGAGCCTCTCAAACCTTGCAACTTAATGAGCTTAACAGGCCTATAAGCTTTAGAACATGATATGTCCTTCCCCCATCACAGCAGTCAACCTAAATTAAATTTTTAATGTTAATTAAATGCTTAAATTAACTTTGCTAAGGGAACAAAACAGCCAAAGTTGATGAACACACTAAAACCTGTGGTCCATTGGTATAACCCCAAACATGAACAGCAGGCTCATGCTCTGGATAAAGGCAAGGTGTGGAATCTTGTTGTTTTCCTCTGGGATGGTCCCAGTGAAACCTCAGCACGGTTTTTCTGGAGAAATCCTCCAGGACATTTTGCTCCAAGCTCAATTTTTTTGTTGCTTTCAAGAACATTGAGAAACCATTTGTTTTGAGACCACTGCAAGGTGCAAGATGGAAACTAATCATGCTCCCAGCATATAAATCTGTTCCTGACTCAGTGATAATAGAAAATCCCAGCAAGACATGAAGACAGAAGAAAAACAGGAGTCAGAAAGCAGGTTTATTCCTTTGGTCATTATTGCTGTGTTCTCACTGCCAGCGAGGGGACACAACCAAACCTCTGCTTGCACCACTGGGATCTCATCTGCAGAGGCACAAAGGAGCTGAAGAGCTGCTGGAGATGCAACACTTGACTGTTTCTGTGCATTGTCTCTAATTCCCTTAAACTCGGTTTTGATGTGGTTGCTCCACGCCTGGGAGTGTCCAAGGCCAGGTTGGATGGGGCTTGGAGCAATCTGGGATAGTGAAAGATGTCCCTACCCATGGCAGGGGTGGGATTAGATGATCTTTAAGGTCTCTTCCAACCCAACCATTCTCTGATCCAGACAGAGCCAGGCCCTGGCTGACAGGGGCAAGAGGTTCTAATGCCGAAAGGTGCAGCTGTGGTGGACACAGCTCTTGCCTCCCTCCTGCTCTTGGATATTTGACAGGCAGTGCCTGACCACCTCTGACTAGTCCCCAAGCATGTGGCACTCGTGCCTGTGGCCTGGAACTGTCCTCTCTGCCATTTCCTTGGTTCCTGTGCCATCCAGGTGTTCTCACCACACGCTCTCTGTGGAGGACACAACAGTCTCATCAAAGGTCAGGTGCATATTTTCCCGGTCCACTGAGGCCTGTGTTGGCTGCTGTGGATAAACAGCTCTGTGTTCCTGTTTCAGCTTCAGAAGTTCTCCAGAAGGAGGGACACATTTATCGAATTTCATGTTGGCTGCTAAAGCTGCTGCCCACAGAGCACAGTCCTGTCAGGGACACACTGCTCGAGCTCCTGCAGGCAGGGACAGCTCCTAACTGAGCCCTGGCACTTAGCCCTCGCTTAAAAGACACATGGCTCCTTTTTAAAACCTACTTTTAATGCAATCCCACTCAGACATCACTCCCCTCTAAGCCTGAGCTTGCAGTGGTCAAGGCTCCAGCAATGCACTTTCTGACTCACAGGTTTGATCCACGAGAGCAAGAAAATCAAAAGGCATTAAAGGTGGGAGAGGCACTGCCAGTCCTGCCTCCCCCTCCACAGCAGTGCCTGGGTTTCCTGGATGGATGCTCAGCAGGCACGAGGGGAGCAGCAAGGGTTGTATGAGGAACAGGTCCAAGATTTGTGGACATACTGATCCTGTGAATCTCAGGATCCCTTTTTCCACCTGACTTCAAAGCACTTCAGCATCATGAGTGCTGTGCACGTCACTGTCACAGCAAAGGGAATGGAGCTGCAGCTGGATCCTCCCATGCCAGGAGGAGAAATCAGCTCTAAAGTCACGTTTTTGATCCCACCTCATCCAGGAATTGTCGCTGTGTCATAGTCACCATCCTCAGGATCTGAAAATCTAAATCATCATCTCTAATTATATATATTCCTTTTCTTGGTTACAACATACACAGAGATGGTGTGGGCAGAGACAGCTTGAGTTTCCTTATCCCACTCCCAGCACGGGGCAGAGCTGCTGCTGATGTCAAAAACTGAGGATGGGAAAGTGATGCCAAACGTCATCGTCTCCTACATCCCGCAGCACGTGGCACCTCACAGACCCTCTGCCAGGCCACAAACATCCACGCCACTCCTGCTGATGCCACCACACTCGTGCCACGTCCCACGGGGAATGGCAAGAATAAGGTTTTTGGCAAAAACGTATTTAAACACAGCAGCAATTTATAGGTTTACAGATCTCTTATGTTCTTGGTCAGGTTCCTTCACACGCCTTCAGAGAAACAATCTGCATGAAGCACAACATGAAAAACAAGCTCTCCTTGCTCTCTCTGCACCACCACCAAGTGTTAAAGCTATTTGATAATTTATCTGAAGGGACAAAAAAATATAAAAGAGCAGGGCAGACAAAAGTTGTTCAAACCATTGAGGGGAGGCTCAGCAAGGGAAAAGTGGCAGTAATTAACATTTTTGCTGCGCTGAGTTGTACGTGCCAATGTAATTTATGCACTCAGAAACGTCTCAAATAGATCCTGCAGGAAGTTGCTGCCTAAGAAAAGATGTCAGTGCTGAGCTAAAAAGACACCTGTCAAAGCCAAAACCCAATTTCTGTTCAGATGCAACAAAGATCTCGATGATCTGAGACAGTCTGAATAGTTGTTGAAGTAGAAGGCAGAAAGAGAAAAGAGCCCAGATAGACAAGAAAAAGCAAAGTTTTTCGAGGAGAGTGAGGAGAAAAGGATGCAGGAAAGTCTGATGTGACTTTAGAAGGAGAGATCAAACTTTAAAGGGATCAGACTTTAAAGGAGTCAAGGAAAACTAACATAAATATTATAAATAGTAAGGAATAGGGAGGAAGAGCTGGGTGGCTTTGAAGGGCGCAATTTTTTATGTGTGTTATTGCTCTGTATCTCAAGGTTCTCTCATGGATAAGGCTAAGGAAGACAAGGAAAACATACCCAGTATTTTCTATTATGCTAAGATGCCAGCAGAATATTCTGTCTCAAGCAAGTTTGCGTATTTTCACCTACAGAATCTCAGTACAAAACCATTTTTTCCTACTCTCTAAAACCTTGGGATGTCACAGCAACAGCACTTTGTCAATTAGGAATGGAAAAAAGGGAGCAACGTAGGGCAAAAGCCAGAGCTGGCAGTACTGCTATCCCAGGAATTATGTGGGGAGGCAAAATGTGGGACACAAACCCGCAGACCCCTAACAGCTGCAAGGGCAGAAAGGGACACAGAGGATGCTGAAAGCTCACCTGGATACTCAGCACCTACAGGCTGGACAGAAAGGGAGGAATTGCTCCCACCTGAGCAGGATTTTATGCAATCCAGAGTGACCTTCAGGATGGAAAACAGGTCAGCTGGATGCAAAACATCTGTCAACAGGCTCATTGGCTCCACAAACAGTCCTGATCAGCTGGGTTGGAAGCGAAGTTACCTCTCATTTGGCAGAGAATTATGAGAAAATCTCCAAATCACAACTCAGGAGTGACTCAATTTCCTTCTGAACAGGCAAACATTTGGGAGGGAGAAATCTCAGCTGTTCCCCAGATTAGCTGTTGGCATTTCTGGAGAAGGGTAAGATGCCACTTTGAATTTGTGACACGAGACCTAAAGTACCTTTAGGAAATAAGTGGCTACATCTGGAACTGCTCTCATCATTTGGAGGAGGTGAGAGGACACACCTTTTTTTCTCCAAAATGCAGAGCGTTTTCCATCTGTCCTTCATGCTCTTTTAGCTCATTGCTATTTTCTTTCTCTGTGCCACTTAAATAAACAAGGATACTGCAGACTCTTTGAAGGAGTCGTTCTTTCCCACAAAAGCCTTTTGAAAGGAGGGATCTTCCACATAATGACCCACCAAACAGAAAACAAACAGGCACTGAGCCCTAGAGCAAGCGTCATGTCGGGCTTTAAAATTTGCTGGTAGGAAGATAAAATCAAGCTCTGAGTCTGCCTTGCTCTGCAGCCTCTGAAAATGCCAGGCCTGGATGATTTCTTGGCGACTATCACTGCTTATAAAGGTCCTCAAGCAGCAGAGGTAATGTGGCTGTCAAACATTTCGGTGCCCAGGCTGACGTGCCTTTTGTCTGAACACGAGCGATCAAGGAGCCTGATTTCCCCTTGTGTTCTCTCCCCCTTAGAAAAGGCTTCATCCAAAAATATCACACACCAAAAGACAGGAGAAGTTGCAGTTTCCTCACTGAAAGCCTCTTGCAGCTGACTGGATTTTTCTTGCTCTGTGCAAGGATTTCTTTGTGCCCAATTATGTTTTAGTGTGTGATGTAACTCCCCAAGAAGTTGTATCTGGAAAGGGACTTTTAACGAGGGCCCGGAGGGACAGGACAAGGGGAAATGGCTTTAAACTTAAAGAGAGTAGGTTTAGATTAGATGTTGGGAAGGAATCCTTCCCTGTGAGGGTGGGGAGGCCCTGGCACAGGTTGCCCAGAGAAGCTGTGGCTGCCCCTGGATCCCTGGAAGTGTCCAAGGCCAGGTTGGATGGGGCTTGGAGCAACCTGGGCTGGTGGGAGGTGTCCCTGCCCATGGCAGGGGGTGGAATGAGATGGTCTTTAAGGTCCCTTCCACCTCTAACCATTCTGTGATTCTATGATACTTTGATATCTGCCTCTCTTATTCTTCTATTACTTGCATCAATACCTAAATTGCAAACCTCACCTCTCCTCCTCTCTCCACCATCTGAATTCCCCTTTTAGCATCAGGGTCTTCAGGATTTTTACCCCTCCCCACAGCTGCCAACTTCAGAGGCAATCAGCTTCTTAATCAAGAGTACAGATTAGTAGGAATAAACACAAAATCCAATATTAGAAAAGCTCGTACAACCTACTCTCTGAGGAACAGAAAAGGCCACAGATGCTGAGGATCAGGATTGTTCCCTGTGACAGGACCATGGATATTCTCCAGCTACTCACCACAGAGTTTCCCTGCTCTGGTCTCA